CCCCAGAACTGGGGTCAAAAACAAGTGTCTAAAGGCTACTGGTGCTCCTAACTACGAAGACAGCTCTCCACGAGTAACTTCTTGTTGTTTTTTAATTTAGTTTGTCTTTTAGTCAATTAAATTATCACAAATGAAACTACACGCTTTGACAGGAATTTTTTAAAGCGTGTTTAAATGACAAAGAACATTGTCCCAACCACTGAGAAGCAAAAAAAAAAAAAAAAAAAAAAAAAACCAGTTAATTCGGCTGTTAGAGGAACTGGCAAGATCTAAAGAGATTTCAGTAAGCCTAAATCCCACAGATAAAAAGAAAAAAATGAATCACATCGGGGACATACTAAAAAAAAAAAAATATACCAAAAATGTTCACTGTCTTCTTTAGCCCAACAATACCATTTTATGATGGTATTTGAAGTCGCTTCATTTTTAGCCCATGACTAATTACATGGGCATCTTCCAAACCAACAATGATTTCACTCTTCAAGCATGCTGGTCAGGATAACATTTTGTTTCTAAAACACTGCACTCATTCCCTTGCACCAACCCTAACACCGAGTTCCCGAAAGTTTAACCAGCTCCATGTCTTCTATCAAGTAGGCCAATTGCTACAATACTGGGGCAGGGGTGGGGAGGTCAAGCAATATGAAAAATAATGACTACTTAGATGGTGGTGGTGGGGGATGCATTCTTGCCAGGAAAAAATAGCTATATTTGGTCACATACCATCTCTCAGACACACTATTTTATATGCACTCATTTTGGTTAGAGACTAAATAAGACCTGCAGTGGGGGCCTCAACACTGAACTTGATCTGTGTTAGAAAAGCCAAACTGTATCATCTTGTGCTCTCTGAATACCAATGCTGCTCAACACTCTCCCAAGGGCCGGGGTGAACGTTTGAGGTGCTGTGGGTTGTGTGTGAGCCAGATACCCTTCACTCAAGCCTGAAGGCCGGGCAAACGCTGGTACTCAGAGAAGGTGACTGTGTAAAATGCCGTCGAGGGTGTGATCACATCTTCTGACGATTGGAGTAGTATAAAATAATCACGGTTTCCTGGAACATGTCTATAGAAAAGCTTAGCATCTGAATTCAGGGGCAAAGCGTGGAGGCCAGAGGCGTGAATAGAAGAATCGAGATGAAGATGCTTTGTCCCCCCCCCCCCCCCCAGTGATAGATAACGTAACAAACAACACGAGACGGCCAAGAAAACCACCAGGCTTCTCAGAGAAATGCAGGCCCGACAAAGGGTCTAGCCTCATCTACGTCATCTTCTGTGAAATTACAAAGGGGGCTTGGCCATGAAAGCGTGTGTACGTTGTATGGTGGAGAGCTCCCGCAAGAATTCAGAAAAGAAAAAAAAAAGTGGAAAAAAAAACAGTAATGATAACGGAAAAGTGCAATTATTAAATACCTATCATATACAAAGTCCAAGAGTGAACTATTGAACTTCATGATGATGATTCTATAAAATTAGATATTATTGCATTATTATTCTTTGTGTGGGGCAGGGCAAAGAGTATATTCATCTGCCTTGGGTCACACAAGCAGTAAGTGATAGAAAATTTAAAAAAGTTAAGCTCTCATGGCCAAGCGACAAGGTTTTCAAGGGTTTAGAACTAGAAAATTAAAAAAAAAAATTAAGTTCTCAATTGTCAAGCAAGAAAGTTTTCAAGTGTTTAGAACTCCGTTCATTGTCACTTGATTTCAGGATACCTGAAAGCCCCCAAATGTCCCTGAGAACAAGGGCTGGGTCTAAGCACCCCTGCCTTCCAGTAGAGGAGACAAAGGCCCAGGGGGTAATGTCGCAGGCAGGTGCAGCTGGAAGAGACCCGAGTGATTCTTCCAATTCCTAGACAATGTTGCTCTTAAGACACACCGCCACTGTGCTGGGTGGCTACCCCCATGGTCTTTTCCCATTCTGCGGTGTCCTAATCTGAATGTGGAATTAGGTAATCTCTGTCAAGAAGAAATTCTTCTACTACTGTGGTGGTCTGAATGAGATGACCCCCATTGTCTACGGCCATACCACCTGAACGCGCCTGATCTCGTCTCATCTCGGAAGCTAAGTAGGGTCGGGCCTGGTTAGCAATGGGATGGGAGATGTCCCCAGTCTCTAGCGTTTGAATGACTTGTCCCCAGTTGGTGTGGCTGTGACGAAGTGTGTCATGTCACTGAGGGTGGGTGTTGAGGTTTTAAGGCCTTGTGCAGTTCCGGATGCACTCCGAGATGTGAGCTCTTGGCTTCCTGACCTCGCCTGCGTGCCTCTGCTTGGCTATCGTGAGCTCAGACTCCACAGGACTGCAAGCCCAAACAAACTCTTCCTTCTACAAATTGCCTTAGTCATGGTGTGTCATCACAGTGACTGAGAAGTGACCAATACAAATACCTTGTGACAGAGTTGAGACCCAGTCCAGCAAACGCCCTACAGAATCCCGGTGTAAATAAATCTCTCAAGGAAGAAAAACAAAGGCCCCCTGCCTCAGTTTTAACATCTGTCTTGGAGGAAATTTTTTGGGTTGTTTTTTTTTGGTGGGGGAACTGTTTCTCAGACCTCAAATGGAGATTTACTCATGGATCATAAAAGCAATTTAATGCCTCATCGATGAATGGCACTTTGGTAAATCCAAATGAACTATAATAAAAAATATACCTAATACTTTATTGCAAATGCCTAGTGTTAACAGCGCTACCCTTTAGGCATGCGTGCAGTCAGTCATGGCATTGCAGTACAGTTCTTGTTCCAGTCTCTATCAAAACCATCAAACAAGCAAGTAAACAAACAAAAAAGCTGAGTGGTGGTGGCACACACCTGTAATCCCAGCATTCAGGAGGCAGAGAAGAATGGATCTGAGTTTCAGGCCAGCCTGGTCTGCAGAGCAAGTTCCAGGACAGTCAGGGATACACAGACAAACCTGTCTTGGAAAAACAAAAACCAACCAACCAACTAAAAACATCTAAACACCATAGTGGAAGGCCACCAGGACACCTGGCATGGGAAGCATCCTTAGCTCTATCTTGACGACTGAGGTTACCGGGACCAACACCTAGAATATCTCATGTCTGTAATTACAGAACCGTCTTGACATGCTGAAGAGCCAGCTTGATTAGCCATGCAAAGAAATTCCAGGAATGCGCCACGTCAAAGCTTTCCCAATGAAGCACAGACACAAGACTGCGGAGAAAAACACAATGTTTCAAGAAAGCGCACAAAGGAAGTCAGGGCTCTGGGCAGAAAGGCCAATGCCCGGCCCAGCAGGAAACAACACAATGAACAAGGGAACAGCCAACCTGCAGCCTGCGGCAGCAAAGATACTCCAAGGGTCAGCATGCGGGAAAGACGCATGCGTCATTCTGAAGGCTTCATCCAATAGAGAAGGGAGAACGAGAACTATCACAAGAAAACACAAACATCTACAAACTCAAGAGTTCAAATAAAACGTGGTCAGCTTCCATGCCTGTCACCAACCCGCAAGCAAGTCTAAAACCTGATAAAGTGTAAAAGTCGTATAAAAGTTGAGTTTCTTTCTCTCTTTCCTCTTCACTGTCTTGCAGTGGCAGCATTGCCTTCTCTGCAAGACTGCTGTCTTGGGGAGAAACACAGAGCAAATGAACAGGACATCTATACCATACCCCTCTCCCAAGGCTTAGAAGTCATTGTAGAAGCCCGGGTGAGAAGCGACCAAGAGCCGAGGCAGTAGACAAACACAAGGAAAACAGTTAGGGACGCAGCAGAGCTGCTGCTCACAGGGACTCAGGGTGGCTGTGACAGCCATCAAAGACCGATGCAAGCCCAAGTCGGACCAGATCCCAGCACGGACAGGAAGTGGGACACAGGGCCCACCGCTAGCCTTGGAACGACTGGAGATTGTTAGCTGCTGGTGAGGAGAAAGACACTGTTCTCTAAGACTGTATCCCCTGATCAATCAACCAGGAGCCACACATCCAGGAATACTGGGGCAGCACAAATTGGTCTTGAGTGATTTGGAGGGTTAGGGGGGCACAGATTGGATGGGTGAGAAGTGGGGGATGGGTCGGGGGAGAGCTGGAGGGGAGGGCAGAGGACCAATCTCATCAAAACATTATATGCGATGCTCAAAGAATTAAGAGGAACAAATGCAGAACAAATCTAGGAATCCACTGCATTATAGTCTTGACCGAAACAATGAATCGTGGGGAACGGCTGCTAAAAGCCTCAGCTAGAAAGACAGGCAATCGGCTTTAAAATAGACACACCAGGCTGGAAAGTCCTGAACTCAGAAGTGGAGCGGGGTCTCCTAAAGGGAAAATGCAGCGAAAATATTTCTAACGAGATAGAGGATCAGAGCCCTAAAGAGAACGAGCCAACCAGCCCCTCAGATCCATTACGAGGGGACAGGAAATACAGGCGCACAGAGATGCAAGCAGCTAGATTACAAATACAGGCAACCCTACAAAAACCTGGTTTCCTCAATGAGTAAGGCCAAGAAAAACCAGCGATGGAACTGGATGAGACTAACATAAGCCTAAAATTTGGACTCACTCAAATGTGTCATTACCCACTTGGTTAGATCCCGATTTGTACAATCACACCTCAAAGGGACTTTTTCAGGATTGTACAATTTGAATATAGACTACCAGGTTACATAAGCATAAGGACTTATTTTTAAATTGTTAGATGTGATAAAATATCGTATTGGTTTCTTAAAGCGATAAAACATTTTAAATAAAAAAAAAAGCACAGCACACATAAGAAATCCAATTAGCAGAAGGTCAGGAAGCGGACACATATAAGCCCCTTCTGGGAAAAACATTCCGCCTTTCTGGTAGAAATTCCAAACACCTACAAAGCAGGCCACCTGACTTCCATCCTTCAGAAGAAGGGGCTAAGGCCATCTCAGCCAGGTAAATACCACGCGGCCGAGGCTTCCTTCTGTTTCCAGAGGCTGTGCCACTGGAAAGGCAAACGTGCATCTAAAGGCCATGCTCTGCCACAGCACACACGCTCTATCAGAAAGCTTACGCGACGGGGCTGGCGAGCAGGCACGCCTCTTGGTTCTCTTCCTGGAGCATGGAAGTTATCTTCCTTCCGGCAGCTTTACTGATGGACGTCTTCAACTTCTTAGCCAGCTTCTTGGGGGTGTTGGCTATGGAGGAGTCCTCCGCACCACAGCTGTACACGTCCATCTTTATCCGGAAGTCCGGCCCCGCGTCGTGGCTAAGCACAAGAGCAGTTAGAATGCTGGGAGTCGAATTCAGTAGACGCTAAAACTAACATACCTTGGATGCTTTTATGATAGTCAAAAAAAAAAAAAATCAACATTTAAGTCATATATAAGGAGATGAGATTTCCACAGTTATTTAGTTTCTGAAGAGCTTTAGAGGTTTGCTGTAATTTTTAGAGCTGTCTTGGAGATTTGGGGAGTGACTTTTTTTTTTTTTTTGGTGAAACACTTGCCAAGCATGCACGCATACCTTGTCAGGCATGACCTAATCAGTGAGCTGTAGGCCAGCAGAAGACCGTCTATAAAAATACAGCAGAGAGGGCCCACTGTTGTCCCCTGGTCTCCGGATGCTTATGCACATAAATGCACGAACACCACAGACATTCACAGCACACACAAGAACATGTGTGTGCACACACACACAACACACGCAAGCGAGCACTTTACTTCACGTGAGCCAACACACACAGGCACCGTACTTAAAAAGTATGAAGAATAAAACACGCTGGCTTTGCTGTTTTTCCCTCTCAGTCCTTCACCACCAAAATGTGAAAGTATCTATTTATATTATATCTGGAATTTCCTGAAACATCTGTCTCTCCTGAACAGAGTCCACGGAAACTCCAGTTCCCATTTGTCCTCATACTCAGTCAGTCCACCGCCTCACTGCGGCCAACAGCCATCAGCATTCCACTGTTTGGTCAGAGAGAGAGAAAGGCCCACAAAACCAAGAGAAAGGGATAGACTTCACAGCCCGCGGCTCCCAGAGGGCAGGCACAGCCTTGATGAAGGCTGTGTGTCTTTCACAAACCAAGCCTGAAAGGAGAAGGGACTGGATAGGCTTTTATTAAAACCTAACTCAGGGTCGGGCGGTGGTGGCGCATACCTTTAATCCCAACAGTCGAGTGGCTGAGGCAGGAGGATCTCTGTGACTTCAAGGCCAGCCTGGTCTACAAGAGCTAGTTCCAGGAGAGGCTCCAAAGCTACAGAGGAAACCTGTCTCGAAAAACAAACAAACAAACAAACAAACAAAAAAACCAAAACACCCTATTCAGAAATTCTCCAGTTTGGAGATGTTTCGGTTGGTAGATGCTTGCTTACCAAGCATAAGGGCCTCAGTTTGGGTTCCCCTACCCATGAATCAGATGTGGTAGCTTGTGTCTGTAATCTCAGCAGTTCTTCAGGCAGACACAGGAGACACCCCAGGAGCCCGTGGGCCAGCTTGTTTGGCATATGCCAGAGAAAAACAGATCCTGGCTCACACTTGGTGAAAGGCTCTGGTCTACCCTGGAGGTTGCCCTCTGACCTCCACACCTGCTGTTTCACAACTGTCCTCATGCTTTCCCACACAAACACGCACACAAAGAAAACAACGGATAAATCAACTGTTTAGCAAGCACAATATGTCGGGCATTACTCTTTCTAGGCACAATCAACTACCATCAGCACAGAAACCCATGGTGTTGTTACTAAGGGCAAGACACACATAGGACCGCATCCATCTGCAGACGTGACCGGAAGACAAAAGGGAGTGAGTCATGGGGCCTTAAAATTCAAATGGCCAATCTAGGGTCTGAATAAATCCAAGGACCAACTTCCAGATATTTTTATAGTTTCTTACTTGGCAACTTCCAAACATACAGTATTCCTGGTAATGAGTAACAAATGTCAATATTTAGAAGAAAACCAGAGATTCATAAATATTGAAGACTTATTAAAAACAAGCATCATAACAAAAAGCACATTTTTTAACATTGAGAACATTTGTCAGCAGTTATTTTTAGGCCAATTTGAAATATTTACACAAAAAATACCAATAAATCATATGCTGTCTTCCAAGTCATTTGTATTGTTCTTCCTGCGGGGGGAGGGGGAGGTCCATCTAACTTTTGTCTTTGTGGCAAAAAAAGCAAACAATGGCCGAGTGATGTGAAGAAAAGAGCCAATTAGCTAGTGAGTGGGATAATTTTGGCAAGAAACAAAATGTCATTAGCAACGTCTGAAAATAGAAATGAAGATACAGAGATAATGAAGGAAATACACTTTAGCCTAAATTCTACAAGAACTTGGGAAGCTTCCTGAGGCGGGGCATCACTGGATTCCTTTGGCTTTAACGCAGCTTGTAAAATGGCCCAATGGCCCAGGGTGACGTGTTGTTTTGTCCTATACAATCACGGGCGCAGGACACCAGCACGGAAGCCACAGATGCTGCCTGTGGGGGGTCCGTTGTTGTTACCTGACGGGCAAAGGCGGGTGGGCCTCTGAGGTCTCAAGTGTCAGTGGACACGGCAAGGGGCGGGCAGCTGGCTCCACGTGAGCCGCTCAGCAGCTATTCCCCCTCGACGGGGGAATGGCATCTTGAAAGCGCCCAAGAAACAAATCCCACGAGGCGACGGCAGAGTCTTTGAAGGAGAGGACAGGAAAAACTCATGGTGGTTAGAAGTGATCTCCACGACTGCCCGAGGAGTTGTTTCTGCCTCTCTGTATGACGGCCATAATACAGTGAGCCTGCGCAGAGCAGGGCCGTAAAACAGCGCTTTAAGATGGCCAGGCTGTTCACTGTCTGAGTCCGTGAGGAGTCCACTGTAAGGAAAAGAACGGCCCAGCACCATGCTAGGCACTTAGAGAATGGCTTGGAAGCAAACCTGCTTTGCTACTTTAGTTCTCTTGTCACTAAACTTCCTGTGAAGTTTAAAAAAAAATCAGCTTTATGCCTAAATTCACTGTACAGCAAACATAAAGAGAAATTCGATTATATTTATAGCTTGGTTAATGATAGAAATATAAATATTTATAAAGAGTTTATCAGAGCCAACAAGCCAACTATTTGCTGCTTACATTAATTAAAAGATTTCTATTTTATTCTGAATCCAAAAAAAAAAAATGTATCTTTTAAACATTTAAAGCTGTTAATGCTTTGAGAAGGATCCAAGAACCATCAGGACGTAGGCCATCAGAAACCAAAGACGGCAGCCGGCCCTCCTTTACCGATAAGAAAAAGAGGCAGACTTCCGAGTTCATTCTTTACAGATGAAAGATACTTACAATATGGTGACGTTGTCAAAACATATATCTGTGACTGTCTGATCCACGATCACCATGTCGGTGTCAAACACTTCGGCTCCCATCCTGAATAAACAGAAGATGGCGTAGCGCTGCGTGCCTAAAGGAGAGACGATGGTAGAGGAGGCCATCACAAGCCGGACAATGCAGGCCCGAGATGCAGGCATGCACGCAAGCTGAGCACTGAGTTGCCATAGCTCCGGCCGCGGCTTCCTGTGTATGCAATGGTCCCTCATCCAACTCAAACTCAACCTCAAACCAAAGACCAAAAATAAACATCAGTCCCGCAGCTTTCCGAAGAGATCCCCAGAAACCAATCTGACCACTAACCAACTCGTACCCTACCAAACTAAGCACCACACACAAGTCCACACCTAAGGAGGTCCAAGTCTTAGGAGAAAGCGACTTTTAAAGGCGGGAACACCAGCAGCAGCCAAATGTCTTCCACCGCGCTGGAAGCAGGGAAAGAAACCACCCGAAAAGCCCCGACGTCCAAAAGGCAGGCAAAGCAATGAAAAGGGACAGGGGACACAGAAAGTAGGACTAACACAGGGGGACACAAAAACAGAGCTGCTAGGCCTTGCGATTTGTTGATGCTCTAACAAATGCCAGGGGATTAAAGAGCTGGTTTATTAAAGGCTAGCCGTGATTTCTTCATTACTGAGAAAATGTAGCTCTTCAGGAAAAGTTTATTCTCTGCAGTAAGCAGGAAGACTGACTTAATTCCCACATGCCTTCCTTGGTGAAGAAAATCATATGTCCTAATTGAAAAACAAACACTAACTTGATTTAAATTCTTCATATTAAATTAATTATGCCCGATACCATTCATCTTTTGGAATATGAAGAATAAAGCCACAATAGACAAGGCAGATAAAGGACTATCGGATCACTCGGCTTTGCCTCACCCAGGCAAAGGAGACATCTGAGGTTAATGACCGTCATCCAAGCAATACACAGACTTGTGAAGACTGCATACAGCCAGTAAAATAGAAGGGGAAAAGAAGATCACATCTAGTTAACAACCTCTCATTACATCCTGTTAAATAACCCAACAAAGCAAAGCCGAGCCCTCACTCGAGACAGCCGTTTAGTGTGTGTGTGTGGGGGGGCATCTACCTTCCTCCCCCACCTCTCCACCTTGAGCTCATCACTCAGGTTCCCATCAACGAGGGAAAAGTGTACATGGTATGTGCCATCTATTCTGAATCAGGGAACTGGCACGCAGACCCCCAATCGGAAAACAACCCTTCACCAGCACCGTGCTTCCTGCCAAACAGCAGCGCCATCTTTCAGTGCCGAAGGAGTCTGTCCTCAGAAATCACAAACTGGGATCCTGCGCGCTAAAGGAAACACTTCCGACTACGAATGGAAACCATACGTACATTCTTTATTACTGAAGTGATCGGAGTCTTTCCACATGAGTGGGATTCGGATATCTGCAAAGGCGGCAGGAAAAAAAAAAAAGACAATTATTTTGTTAATTTTTATTTCACCGTGATGTGAACCTCTGAATTCCATAATAAACAGTGCCTATCAAAGATGAAATATACACATTTTCTAGTTGTTCGCAGCTGGTTTATGAAATATTTTGTTCTTGTATGTATACAGGTGCTCCGTCTGCATCACTTGCGTGTCGTGTCTGATGCCCACGAAGGGCAGAAGAGGGCACGAGATCTGAGGTTGCAGGTGGTAGTGAGCCCTCATGTGGGTGCTGGGCCCCAACTCAGGTCCTCTGCAAGAGTAATACACACTCCTAGCCACCTCTCTAGCTCCATAGGTGATAATTTTAGAAGTTACTAAATATACGTAAAATTCAGGGGTATTTGAAATGAAAATTCATTCTTTTAATTTATGATTTTAGCCCCACACATCTATGCCTTTTCCTCCCTGCTCCCCGGCTTTATGATGCCTCCCTCAGCAGCTGTGCCATTGTGAGTCCACGTCTGTCTCTGGTCCAAACACTTCACGGATGGAACCAAATCATTAATCAGCAATTATAGATCCCAGTGCCAAACGTGCTGGAATTGCTGTCTTTCGGAGGCATCCGATTGTCACTGGTCCTTTATCATTTGATCAAAATCCCTCTCAATTAACTTAGGAGCTCAAGAATTTTTACATGGCCCCCACCGTGTGTGTGTATGTGTGTGTGTGTGTGTGTGTGTGTGTGTGTGTGTGTGTGTGTGTAGGTCAGAGACAACTTATAAAATTTGGTTCTCTCCTGTCATGTGGGCCCCAGGAGTTGAACTCAGATCATCAGGGTTGGCGGCAAGCACCTTTATCTGTTGAGTCCTCTCATTGGCTTAGGGAAATAATAACGTCTTCGATATTTTATCTTCACATAGTATATTTACTTTTAACATTTTCTCTAACCTTGGCTTTTGGTTTGAGGGCTGGAGCTCGGGTCCAGAGGCTCAGCAGAACCTCCCACTGAGCTAGCCGTGCCTGCAGCTCCCACCCTTACATTTTAATTACAGTTATTCTTGTATATTTAATGCTTGAGGGTAGTTGCTGCCTTGTTGTAAATTACACTTTTTTTTTTCATTATATTCTGTAGCACGTTATTGCTGGTTTTAAGAAAAACTACCACTTTTTATTTATTTATCCTAAATCCAGTCACATTTTATTGAATGCTTTAATTCAAGTGTCTCAGTGCCTCCCCTTAGGTCACATCCATCTGCCATCCATTAGCCTCGAAAAGTCTCCAATCTGCCTATTCATTTTCAATAGCTTAATTTTTCAGTCATTATTTTAGTTACAATTCCAGACCAGTGTTAAATTATGTTGACATAATAGACATTGTTGTTTTGTTCTTGATTTTAATAGGAATGTCTTTGTCTCATAACTCTAACTCGGCGATGGCCTGTCAGGCCTCGCTTCTTGGCTTGACCACAATGGCTGCCTCCTTCCCTTCCACGATGGCCAATGGTTTCTCACCGCAGCTGCCTTGGCTGTGGTGGGGCGGCTTAACTATTCCCACTGTCATGGAGGGACCCTGACCACGCTTCCTCAGGTGCTTCCCCACAACCGGGGAAGGTCCTGCTCCTTCCCACACCTCATCCCAGCTCCATACAAACCCAGGGAGAGCGAGAATTTCCCATCCGTTTCCCAGTTGGCCATGGATTCCTCAGATAGCAGAGGGTCCAGCTTTGACCGACAGAAACAACCCCCACCTGGGTTCTAGCGTATTGTACTCCACCTTTGCTTTTCCTGACAGTTTACGGCAAACTGAGACTGCCTACACAGGCTAGCGAACCGGAAGTATCAGGTCCCAGGCTGTAGTTTGGTTAAGAGAAAACTAGGGACTGGGGTGACGGCTCAGTGGTTGGGCACTTGGTGCACAACCACAGTTTGGATCCCCAGAGCCCTTTGCATGCAGGATGGCTGTGGCAGCCACCTGTAATTCCAGCCTTGGGGGGAGGGGTTCCCAAAGAAAGTTGGCTCTAGAGATTGTCACTGCCAGGGACCTGTGAGTTTGACTGACAGACTCTGCCTCGAAATAAATTAAAAGTGGAAGAATGACTGAGGATGACTCCCACCTCAGGACCTTACATATACATGCATGCATTTGCACACGTCTACATACATGCAACATGCATCCACGCACATATGAAAATGAAAAAGTGAAACCGCTGCACTTAGTCGCTGAGTGGGGAGCTGGCGAAAACACAGGGCAATTGCCACAATGCCACTGCTTGCTGTACAAAGCATGCATGCGGGCGAACCCGCTACTTTCATAGTTATGAAGCTCTGGCCAGGGGAAGCAGGTACAAGAAACTCAAGGTCTGTCTTGTTTATAGCGCAGTCTTAGAAACATTCTGACACTTGGCTGCCAGTGTCCAGCGAGCCAAGACCATGGTAACGGCACATGCATCCCATCCTCTGGGTTTCATTTGCTTAATTTCATTTAAAAATGTCTTGGGGGGGGGGGCTGGAGAGATGGCTCAGCGGTTAAGAGCATTGCCTGTTCTTCCAAAGGTTCTGAGTTCAATTCCCAGCAACCACATGGTGGTTCACAACCATCTGAAATGAGGTCTGGTGCCCTCTTCTGGCCTTCAGGCATACACGCAGAAAGAATATTCTATACATAATAAATAAATAAATATTAAAAAAATGTCTTGGGAAGAAAGACCATGTTTGGGGGAAGATGACCTTGGGTTTTGTACAAAGGTATCTAAGATCATGAAAAGACCCCTCCTCCACATGTACACCATTTTTTTAAGGATCCCTTCTAAATGAGGTAAACAAGCGCTCGCAAAAAGACAGCAGATGACAGCAACCACAGAACTCACACGACAGGCCACTTACCTCATTTGCCTACAGAGTAGAGCCTTACTAGAAGCAAGGGAGGGAGAACAATATTTAAATGACGGTGGAAAAATTTTCCTCTAAAGATCTACAATAGTTAATCTACGCGTGTGAGACTGTATTTAAACAGAAGGTGTCCCATGTTTGGCAGCAAAAGGACACAGGCAATGTCGCGGGCCTCGTGTCGGCCGCACACTGGAGACCAAGCATGAACGCAAGCAGCCACAGAACAGGCGACAGGCTTTGGTGTGGCTCATCTAATTCTCTGGAGCGCTTTTTGCTCAGCTGAGGGCAATTTCTCCAATAAGTTCCTAAATAAAATATCTGTTCTCCCAGCACGGTAACTTGGGTCCAGCCATGACTGTGAGAGACGGAGGTGGAGAACGGTCCCTTAAGCGGCAAGCCCGGTGGTATAGCGGCTGGGCACTCTGCCTTAGGCCAACGGAACAAGCCAGCCATTCCTGGAGGCCAGCGCAGGACACCCTGCTTTTTTAGGGTGCGCTGACGAGATACCGGCCAGCCTGCCACGCTAATCCTGTAGCATCTCTACACCATTGTCTCAGATGGCCCTGCCATTTTGGAGAAACTGAGACTACACAGCCTAAGTGCCATCTAGTGGCAAGGCGCCTCCCAACGCTGCGGACAGGAACCGTGGTTCCAGCCTCAGTAATAGTGGGAGGGTTTAGAGATGAGCAAACAGATCCTGGAGAAAATACCACAGTTTCACAACCCAATTAGGTGTCTCAACCAAGGCGTGTGTTGACAAAGGAAGGAAAAAAAAAAATCTGCCTAAAGCACGTGACTTGTGTAATGGAAGACAGAGCCAGAGAAAGAACTGGGGCAGAATGGAAAACTTGGCGGGGCTGGGGCAGTTTGGTTTTTACAAGCTGAAAAGTGGTCAGTCCTCTCCCCAGCATTCACTGAGCAATCACAGGAGCCAAGCCCAGAGACAGTGGCTTTGACATAATGTGATAAACAAACACGGGCCCAAGCCCCATGAAACCTGCATCTTAGAGCATCCTTAAACAGAAAAGGCGGGGAGAGAGAGAGCTTGTGGGTTTGCAGCCCAGCTTGGGCACCTACAGCAAGCAGGTCACTCAACGCGCCTTCTGCACATTCCACAACATGAACAGAGGGCAAACCTGCACCATGTCTGTAACGTACAGCGTAGTTTCCCCACACTGCGATGTTCCACGTGACTTCAGAGAGTAACGATTAAATATTTAGAATAAATATTCTGATGGAGGTATGAACAATGGAACGGAGAGACTGGAAATACTGAATGCACGAGGCCGGCAACGCCAGCCGCTCTACGGGCACATCCAGCAGCACCGCGAGCGCCCACAGCCTACCTGAGAGGGCGAGCCTCCCTCTGCAGGGTCTTCGTTCTTTGCTCTCACAGTCCACATCGCTGTCAAGAGAAACACACATCAGTACCAACGAAGGTCTTTCTTAAAAAGAAGCGACGATTTCAAGTCTTTCGCAAACAGCTGAACTTTAAAATAAGTATACACCTATGAATACTGATAACTAATGTGGAGTATCTGCCTCAAAAGATGTTTAGTCGACAGCTAGCTAGCTTTCAGGGAGTTTATATAAACCGGTCAACTTACTAATAATGCGTACTTGGTGACACTCTGATGGTGGCTTTGCTGACCAACTCAACATATTGGACAGTATTGTTCCTGTCCCTGGGACTGCAATCACAAAGCCTACATTTCGAGTCTGTTGGCTGCACTGGCCTGAAGGAGTCAGGTGTTGCCCAAGTCAAGCCGTGGGCTGCTATCCCTGAAGATAAGAAAGCCCCATCTCACCTTTGGCTATAATTTATGGGCAGGTGGTATAATATCTCACATAATATCTCATTTCTCGTAAGTTCCAAACAACAAGCACACAGCAGATTAGTATGAGAGAACAGAAAGCAGAGAGGGAAACAGAAAACCTCTTTCAAGGACATTCTGAGATGTAAGACAACTTCTCTCCCAAAGTCAGGACTTCCTATCACTCAAAACAAAATGAGACACCATTCAAGCTGAAGAGGGCGCATTCCAGGCCAGCCTGTGCTACCTATGAAGACCCTGTCTCACACACAAAGCAAGGGAGGGCGAGATGGCTCAGTGGATAAAGGCGTTTGCAGGTAAACCTGGGGCCTGAGGTTGATCCCCGGAACCCACGTGATGCAAAGAAAGAACAGATGCTTGCCACATTATGATATAAAAATATTCTCAAGCTATAATATAAGTCCAATTAACCATAAAATTTTGCAGAATTAAATCTGTCTTTAAAAAAGGAGAAAACTCAAACATCGATTTTCTGAAGCCTCAGTCATTTTCAGTTTAAATACTCTCAAAAATGTTACTTTGGGTGCAACTCATCCAGATTAATCATGAAACTGCTAAGTAAGGCTGTTTGATTTAGTTAAAGATATGTATTCCTGAAAAGCTGCCACGGTCACACCAACTCTGAAAGCTGCAGTTAAGAGTCAACCTGAGCAAAGGGCACAGGTACAAACAGTGCACCTCCTCCAGGCAAACCAGGTCACAGCGCTATCTTGGGCTATCTTGGTTAAACCTGCACACGTTAATTTGTTTTTCAGAGCCGAGGACCAAACTTAGGGACCAGTGCTCTACTATTGAGTCACTTCCCAACCCCTAAATGCTAATTTAAGAGATAAACCCATAAAAGACAAACTCAACTTTTTTTTATAGTGTAGATCCAGAAATTGAGCAACAGAGGGCGCCAATCTGCCATTCTGTCGCTCAAAAATCAGTAAGAAAATGCTGGGTAAACACAGCTCGGCCTGTTTTTATGTTGTTACATACGGGGGCTTTAAACACCATTTCTTGTGCCAAAATTGGTGCTTTGTAACAATAACATAATGACAACAATATTTTACATTTTCTTAATGAAACAGTTACAGGATCCTAAGTGGTATTTGAAAGCATTTTATAAAAACCTCCACCTTTTATGCAAATAAAAACGAAAACACCCAGAAATACACAGCGCAGAATTTAAAGCCTAAAACTACAATGTATGATGATGGTGATAGATTCATGATGCCCTAGATTATACCCCAAGTGTGATACAATCAGTTTCTTTCCATAGACCCCCAAGCTGTGTAAAATTTAAGAAATAATTTCAGCAGAGTCTTTAAATACATGTTTCATTACAGAACTACTACAAGCGCTGATTTTTTTTTTTCTTACCATCTAGGCTTTTTCTTCTTTTAACTTACAGTACGTAAGCAATAAAGTCAGAGACTGGAGTGTGAAGACTGGCAATCACAGCCAGCTCACAGGGTTATTTCGGCACTATTAAAAACTCACAATTATGTTGAATGACACACATAATTAAATCCTATAAATGACTCTAATTAGCATTATTATTATTTTTTCTTACAATGCCAAATAAAGCATTTCAGATTTTTAAGTCGAGAAGAGATGGGATGGCCGGGGTGGGGGACGGAGGCTGAGGGAGGACAGTGTTAAAATGTGAGCTCCGTGAGCGTGGACGAGGGGGCTGTGGGATGAGTACCTCACCCAGCACAGTGCCCCACCAGGCCCTGGGCATCTGGGCCTGCTGCTGAGAAGGGCTGGAAGCATGGGCATCCCGGGAGTAGACCTGGAGTCAAGCTTTGGGCTTCAGCACCACTTCCCTCAGGGAGTGGCTGAGTGGCTGAGACTGCACCCACAGAGAGAGAAGGGCCGTATCTAGTCAGCTTCTGCAGCTGCTGAACCAACTGACAACCCTCATGTGTCTGTGGAATTCTTTAAAGTGTCGCACAAACCCGGGTGCCTGCTTTGTGAATACAGATGTTTGGGCTCCAGGGTTGAGCCGAGGCTCAGGGAGAAGACACACTGAGTCATTTGCTCACGGATCAGAGTCTAACTGACAGTTCCTGTGACAGTCATCTGAGACTCTCTACACAGCCCACTAGAGTCTTCATGTCAACAAGAAAGAAAACAGGGTCTCCTGTAACGCCCACCAGCAGCACAACCAGAAAATGGGCTGCCACAAATGCCACCGTCTTTGGAAGACATGAAAGCCAGCTCCTGGAGACCTCGTCCCACACACAGCTGGGTAACCATTAGCTGAAGTTACACTAGCCTGGAAGGAAAGAGAATGTGCATAGAAGGCTTGAGAAAGCTTGTAGAATACCGATACTAGACCCTGGGGGGCTGAAATGTACTCAGCTTCAACCATTCTTAATACTGTGGAGGAGATAGATGGGCGGTGGTGCACACCTTCAATCCCAACACTGGGGAGGCAGAGGCAGGTGGATCTCTGTGAGTTCCAGGACAGTCAAGGCTACACAGGGAAGCCCTGGCTCGGAAAACCAATATGTATATGGGAGGAGAGAGGCATGAAGTACAAGTTTGGCATAGAAATAGAAAGAATGCAGTTAACCTTAAGAACCCCAAGAAAAAAATCGTCATGTCCAAGAACCAGAAAACCAACCAATGTCCCCAAAGCAGCATTATTAAAGGTATGGTCCACTATTCCAAAAACAAATCGCCACTGAGTAAGAAACCACGGAAGCCCTTTTAGCAGCATCCCACTTAGACCACCAGGGTCTTGGCGCAGGGAAACGTCACTAAATCATGAAGGACAACAATAACAATCGCCAAAAAGAGACCCTCGCATCCATATGCAGCCACTGCAAAGTCAAGAGTCAGCTGATAATATCCTAGCAACCACATCTTCACAAAAGAGGGAAAAAAAAAACGCGAATGCAATACTCCAGCGTGAATTACATGCAGTTAAATAAGTCATCGCACATGCGGCAGAGGAGGTGGGTGAGGCTGCGAGAATCCAAATGCCAAACATTCAGATGGAATAAAGCAGAGGCAGATGCACGGTGAGAAGGATGAAGAACAGAACCGGAAGGAGTAAGGCCGGTTCTGGGATCAGCGTTGGAAAGCAAATTCTGGATTTAGCTGGCAAGAGAAAGAACCAAAAAAAGAAAAAAAAAAATTAATTGAGTGCTACGAGATCGCAAGGATGGCACAGGAGACACGGCCGGGGTCCAACGTGTCTGTAAGTGGAAAGAGTTCTAAAGAAAAAAAAATAAGATAAAATTAGCAGTTTATTTCCGGAAATGAAAATTTTCAGTAAATAAAAGAATTGTGTGTGTCCCTACCTAAGCCCAAGAGTCCACCTTACACACATTCAGCTTCAATGTTAAAAAACAAAACAAAAAGAAAAAACAAATAAACACTACTTTCAGTCTCCAGGCAAAAAAAGGCCAAGCTGTTTACAAAAGAAAAATAATTAAATATTAGTAAAAAAAAAAAATACCAAGACATGGAAGATTTTCAAGACTCAAGGGAAGAAATTACAGCCCGAAAGTTTGTAATCAGGGAAGCTGCCCTTTTAAGTAGCAACTCTAAGGGAAAACACTTGATTTATGCAAGAATGTGAAGAGGAGACAGAAAAGCCACTCAGGTGTGGCATTTGCTAGCCCGTGACAGCACTGGCCAGCACAATGGTCGAGGTCATTGGCCAGCACAATGAAAGGCAATGCATGTTATGCTGTGTAACAGACGAGACGACTGAAGTCCAGAGCTCAGGTGCAGATGGCCATCTTGATATATAAATATTATCCAGTTTACCAAAGTAGAAATAACACAATTCAAAATGCAGTGGAGAGGGCTGAGAGAAGTTGGTAGAGCACTCGAACACGCGTGAGGGCCTGAGCTTGTAACCCCAGCACTGGGGAGGTGGACGCAGTAGGTCTCTAGGGCTCACTGCCTAGCCCATTCTGGCCTAACAGGAAAGCCCCAGGTCAATGAGAGAGAGAGACCCTGTCTCAAAAAACCAAGGTGGAGAATGCCCAAGGAACAACAGCTGGGATTGACCTCTGGCTTCCAGCTGCACACTCATTAGCACACATGGAAACACACAAAAATAACAGAGAGAGCAAAGGGAAAACAGGACCGACTTAGTATCTTGACACAAATAATAAACAAAAAGAATTGCTTAAAGCAGAAAAAAGGAAGCCTGAAAACCCCCAACGATACAGGGTATCGCCACTGCTCTTGGTCACCCACCAGAACCTGACAGTAAGATCCTATTTCTAGAAACATCAGGCATGGATGAGTCAATTTGTTCCTGACCAAGCATCTTCCTAACCACCGGCTAGCTCTACAAGCTGCTGAGGGGTGGGGCTATGAACGATCTTAACCAGCTGTGAACTTGTGAGCTACAATTATGACTAGCGTAGGAAGCTATACCCATGGGTGCCACAGGGGCATGGATGTTATGGGGATGGATCCTATGGGGGTAACCGACTGCTTTCTACTGGATTTAATGTCTGCTCTGCAAGAGGAGAGTCATGCCTGGGACCGTATATCTGGCCAAGAATCCATTGTTCAGGAACTCAGGGCCCTGGTTGTGAACCTACTACTACTACTACTTTGCTAAATGGACATAGTATCTGAGAGAAGTTTCTTTTTGCAGTGGATGGTGGTGGTGAATGTAGTAATCACAAGTTAAAGTGCAGAGATTAAGTGTTTGCATTGTGCTCAACCATGGGATATATATCACAACCCCTCTCTCAAGACTCAGGGATCACCCAGAAACGGAGGGAGGAAAAGACCACTAGGGTCAGGCAGGACCAAAGCCAAACAGTGTCCTCTGGGCAAGACAGGACCCTGCACTCGTGACCTCATGGTAGCTGGTAGCCGTGGTTGCCTGCACAATGCTTGCATAAGACAAAGCCAGTCGACTTTCCAGCACAGAGTGGGTGGGCTTGTGAGACCTGCCCGAGCTCAGGAGCTGCCCTGCCGGCAAATGATGCTTCTGAGGGGAAAAGAATCAGTTTTTTTTCAGGGCGTGGCCATGTGAGCCAACAGTAGATGACCACACCCATGATGGCAAGGACAGCAAAAATGGACTCAGGTGGTTAGTAAAAACGGGCAAACCCAGAAGGTCCTGATGGAAGAATTTTAGCCAATGGGGACTGAAGGGAAAGCATCAAACAATCCCTGTTTGCAAACCTCTCTGCAATAAGCGATTTAAGCGAGGAGTAGAGATGGATGGTTAAGCCACTGACATGGAAGCTTGCGGGATAATATACTCACCCAGTCCCAGCGCTCAGACGTCACTTACAAAAGGCAGAGAGAGAAAAAGGAGACAAGAAGCCTACGTCAGCTCCATTTGAAAGAGGTTGCGTGAGGCCTTCAGGCACAGGCCTATAATCTAGCTGCTGGGAAGGCTGAGGCAGGATCCCCTGTTCAAGGTCCAGCTGGGCAACCCAGTGAGACCCTACCGCAAAATAAAGAGAATAAGAGCCGAGTAGGGGGCTTAGTAGTAGAGATCTTGCTTACCAAGTGCAAGGCCATAGGATCAATCCCACAGTGATAGAGAGTTTGCTTACCAAGTGCAAGGTCATAGGATCAATCCCACAGTGATAGAGAGTTTGCCTACCAAGTGCAAGGCCATAGGTTCAATCCCAGAGGACCCCACAGTCAACTTCCAGCTATAGTAAAGAAGAGATGGAGAAGGCTCCAGGACCACTTAAGGAAACGACCAGACAAGTGCAGAACGTAGGGTATTTATAAGTATTAGTGTCTAGACTCCTCAAAGCATTAACGAAGGGGAAATTTTAGAAAAGGGGGAATTAATAGAAACCAAAGGGATGTAACCAAGTGCACTGCGTGGAACTAAATTAAATTTTAGTGGGAAAAAGAAAACCCAGACAAACAAAAACGATCGACTATGAGGCGATCTTGAGCCACTGGATAAACGTGACCATAGAAAACTACTAACCCCGTGCATACAATCATATTCTGACTATGCGGAAGAAGGTTCTTAAAGACAGACGCATGCCAGACTGCTGAGGTGTGCATGCCCCACTTGCAAACCCCTTTCCAAATGCTTCAACAGAACACTGTGTTCACACGTACACGGAGAGAAGGCAGCGGAGGAGCAAACGTGCGTGCCACGAAATGAACGGGCGTTTATCTGCGAAAGAGTTCAAGACGAAGAAGTGGTTTTTCAAAAGGCGGAAGCAGGCAAACCGGGGGCCCTGTGAGCAGCAGGAGGCAGTGAGAGCCTCGGAACACGAAAGAAAACAAGGGGAAGCCACACGCTGCTAACTGCTGTCCCCGTGAACCCTAGTTTTCACTGTAAACTCAGGAGGGGGACCGGGCAAGTGGTTTCCTCCTCCCAAACTGCAGAGCGACGACTTTCTGCTCTCAGTTCTTCCAAACACCACTCGGGTAGACGGAAGTTAAGTCGGTGCTCACAGTGCAAGTGTTAAAAGCTTTAACAAAGTGCGGCAACTTGGTCGTTTGCACCAGCCCTCGGTGGCGGTTTACGATACAGACCATGAGAACATGGGAAGTGAAGACCCAGTGGTAAGCTCCAGAGGAACTCATTCACTCCAGTCATTCCAGGGGCTGGGGACACTGCTCAGTTCAGAGCATGTGCAGTTCGTGCAGAGGGTCTGAGTCTGGTTCCCAGCACCCACCGCTGGGTGCCTCACAACAGCCTGTAATTCCAGCTCCAGGGGATGACCTGGTACTGTTTTCTAGCATCAAGAGCACCTGTACTCATGTATATACACCACCTACACAGAATTAAAAATTAAGTAAACCTTAAAAAAAGTCATTTCCTGCCAGGTATGGGGGCACACCATATCTCTGCACGAGGGAGGCAGAGGCAGACGGGATGCTCAAGGCTAGTCTGGTCTACACAGCAGGTCATTACGCACTAAGGTCCCGACTTTAGGAAGCACACACAAAAGCTATTTCATTATTAGATACTAGATCACCGCTGTGTCTGTGCCTCCCTGTCTTAACTATTTGTCTTAAAATGTGGTTATTTCTGTTACTTAACTCAATCCTCTGCTTCCATGCAATCTCCCCAAACACTATTACATGGCAGATTCTTTTTGCTTAAAACAGTAAGAGGAACTTTTTAAAAAAGATACACGTTAAATCTTGCAATTACTTGACAGCTTTGAGAGGTAGGAAGAAGGCTGGTTTCAGGTGGAAGTGGGGTGCAGGTGGGGGGGATGGGGTGCAGGGCATACGGAGCCTTTGAAGTCCTCCGGTCCCTGGCCTAGCTCTGGGAGCACTATGCACCCTGGACAGGCTAAGAGTCCTGGTTTCCAGATCTCAGTGAAGACAGGCAGCCCAGGGCTTGGGGGCCAATCCCAAACCTGACCTAGTGTCTGGGTCGTCTGCCGGTAAATCCTACACAGATCAACCAAGTGCATCCCTTCTGTGTCCTCTGCAGCTCATCCTTCACTCTAAGCTTGCATTTGCTATTTCTTTTCAGGGAGCGGCTTTGTTCCTTCCTCCTCATGTGGTAGGACTGTTTTTCCTTCAGTCCACAATATCCAGTTCACATTAGATGTTCCTCAGACACACCACGGCCCTCAGATTCGATTCTGCTTTAACCTAGAGCAGTAGTTCTCAACCTGCGGGTTATTCTCCCCAAACCAGCAGAAAATGCAGATATTTAACTTTACAATTTCTATCAGTAGCAAAATGACAGTTATGAAGTCAGAGGTCAGCACAACATGAGGAACTGTATTAAAGGGTCACAGCATTGGGAAAGTTGGGAACCACTGCTCTAGAGTAACAATGTAATAATTTTTGACGTTTTATTGCAAGATTTTAGAAGAGTTAGACCAGCGTCCTTCTCATTAAAATGGTATATGTATATACATTTTTAAAGCTATTTTCTCTCCCTCAGAGACTAAACTAAGGAAGAGACATGGTATCTAAAGGGAACACGTTTGCGATGGATTCTTACTGAGAGACCCTGAAATCAAGCCTCTACTAACAGGGAGTTCACCCAAGGTCCAGGAAAGACCTGGCATTGTCTGTGGGATAGGAGACAAATGCACCAACTGTTCCACGAGGGCCATGTGGAGTGACAGAGACCTCAGGACCAGAAACTAACCAGCAAGCCCTGCTGGGAACTAATTGGCAACACTTCTGAGGATGCTACTCCCTTCCCCGGAACTTGCTTAGCATAGGAAGGGCTGTGCTCATCTGTTTGGGGTTCCTTCCACTTGCGCGCTTGTAATCTGTGGGCCCATTCAATTTATCTAAGTTGCTGCTAGTCTTTGAGTGTTTCTAAGCAATTAATTTTTGAAAAAAGAGTTATTTTTATTTTCAGGCATGGGTGTTTTGCATGCGCAGATGTATGTGCACCACAGATATGCCAGGAGCCCGAAGGAAGCCAGAAGAGGGCACAGCATCCCCTAGCACTCGAGTGACCGATGGCTGTGAGCAGCCACTAAAGCCACCTCTCTAGCACAGCAATTAGTTTCTTAAAGACAATTTTCTATGGATTTCACTCTCTCCATCTCTGCCTTTTTTTTTTAAAGATTTATTTATTTATTATGTATACAACATATGCCCACATGCCATAAGAGGGCACCAGACCCCATTACAGATGGTTGTGAGCCACCACGTGGTTGCTGGGAATTGAACTCAGGACCTCTGGAAGAGCAGCCAGTGCTCTTAACCTCTGAGCCATCTCTCCAGCCCCATCTCTGCCTTTCTTAAACCGTTCTTCACTTTCCCACACTGAACAAGGAACCGCTCCACGGAAGTGGCTGTTCAGTGAACGCGCTTGAGGCTCTCCCGTTCACACAACCCTTATGCCGGCTGGCACTTCCACGCTTGCCTTTAGAAGGCTTGGTGATCTGACATTTTTTTACGTCCACTTAAATGACACCGTGTCTGCTGTTCAAATACCAAACTACAGTAAAGTGTAGGTATACTTCAGCACTCACCATCTTCCAGTCTGACTTGCAATCTGTTCTTCTAACTTCCGGAGCTCCGCCGTGTACGCCTCTATCCGAGCATGGCACACCATGAGGTTCTTCACTGCACGTAAAACCTGGTCTTTTTTTGTACTCAGGGAGAGCAGCTTCCATATTCCTTCTCGCATGCGGATTTCTAGGTCTATTTTCTCTCGGATGCTGCAGTACTAAAATAGAGAATCGTTTGTATGAGGTAGTGACCGTCTAGAGCTGCATTTAAGACAGGCAATGGGGAGTGTACTAGACGTTCATTTATTTTCGTACCATTCCGAGAATAAAACAAGAGTTTTGACTTGTCACACTATAAAAATACAGCGACTTTAAAAAGTTATTTGCCAAATTCTTAAATTTCTTTCATTATAAGGAATTCTTTCCAACATACTGGCTAAACAAAACAGAAACAAAGCTGAGAAAAACAAAGCTACTATTAGCACCATTAGCATAATAGAGTTCTCAACATTCTTGTCTACCCAGAACCCTAAAATACGCTGTTATTTGGACACAAAATTTTGCACATGTTATTAATTAATATAATGTCACACTAGATTAGAATGGGTCTCAAATCTTAATAAGGTCATGTAAAGATACAGATTTAGGGAGAAGGCTAGGAAGACACAGACACACAAAAGCCACATAAAGACAGACACAGAATCCACATACAGACACATAGAAGCCACATACAGACACAGAGGCCACGTAAAGACACAGAAACAGAGGCTGTTGAGGAATATTATTTTCAGGTGTGTGACTTTTGTTTATGCTGCATTTGTTTAACTCTGTGAAGCTGTGTCACTGTGCCTAAAACACCTGATGGTCCTAATATAGAGATGAATGACCAATAATGAGGCAGGAGCAAGGATAGGCGGGGCTGGCAGAGTATAAATAGAAACAGGACGTCAGGGGCCAGGCACCCAGCCAGTTATGGAGTAAGATAGAAAGAAAGGTATACAGAAATAGAGAAAAGATAAAAGCCCAGAGGTAAAAGCTAGTCAGGATAATTTAAGTTAAAAAAAAAAAAAAAGCTGGCAAGAAACAAGCCAAACAAAGGCTGGGCATTCATAAGCAATAAACCTCCGTGTGTGATTTATTTGGGAGCTGGGTGATGAGTCCCTCAAAAAGCCAAAAGAGTAACACATCCCATGAGAGGGCACATCACAGACATACAGAAACATGACAAGAGGACACGCACACAGGGCTGGTCTTCTGAAGAGAGAAGGCCCTATGATGGCAGACACATGAGGATACCACGTGAAGACAGATGGAACACGGGAGGTTAGCGGCAGCAGCCAGAACCCGCTTTATGCCACAGTGCAAATGTAAATAAATGCTAGTTGGCGCCTCAAAACTCAGGTTTGCCTGTTAAACACAGCAACGAGAGAGCTGACGGAGCTGACAGAGGTCCTGAAAGCTGGCTACATCTGAGGACCAACTGAGGCACAGAGAAAGAGCCGTATTAAAGCACCCGACCCATGGTTCTCAACCCGTGAGTTGTGACCCCCTTCGGGGGGGAGGGGTCACATAACAGATATCCTGCATTAGATTTACATTAGGATTCTTAACAGTAGCAAAATCAGTTATGAAGTAGCAATGAAATAATTTTAATTTCATGGCTGGGGGTCACCACATGAGGGACTGTATTAAAAGGTTGCAGCATCAGGAAGGTTGAGAACCGCTGACCTAGTTAGTGCTTTAGTGGCTCAGATGGACAACTATTGTGGGACCCTCAAGTTCAGCCATCATAAAAATTGCAACAACCCCAAGGAACCAGCAGGGGGCCACAGCCCCACTACTTACTAGCCTGGACTCCCTGGCCGCCTCTGCCTGATCTAGGAGGAGAGCCTTTCGCTGCTCTGTCCTCAACAGTTGAAAAAGACTCAAATAATTACAGAGGCTTGGGAAAAAAAGAGATAAGAACTGTAAGGTCCAAACGACAGCTTATAGATGGGATTAAGCTAATGTTGACTAAGGAAATGAGGCACCTGGGACAGTTATGACTGGAATCTCATCCTTTACAGCAGTAGTTAGCCAACTAGGGCCCGGATGGTGCCCGTTTTTGTAAATAAAGTACTGAATCATACCAGCTCATCCTGGCTGTGGCTACTTCCCAACCACAGTGGCCGAGATGAGAAACTAAGAGTGTAGTCAGCGAAATGAACAATTTTACCATGTGGCCTTTGATCCACTCCAGTGGAAATACCCTATAGACGAGGACCCTATCTTCTTTCCCAGGGCTCCTCCATCAGACAGAAGAGGAATGGCACACAGGGTGGACTCGCCGCTCAGTGCATGCACACGTCGGCTTTGAACACTCTCAGTTAACAGCGTCCCCGACGGCAGCAAGTCTGTGTTTCCCATACAACTTGTTAGCACACACACAGTCTACAAGGAAACCTCTGATCAACAAGTCATGGTTTACAGCACCAAAGATCAGCCTCTACTGAATAGGTGCACGTGGTACCGCTGGGGAGACACTGACGTCTGGGGCAACCCAGTGGGAAGACAGACTGTGGAAGGAGGGCCATCCACTGAGCAAACAGAGATGCTGACTGTCCTCCAAGAGGACCGAAGAACTAAAACCATCACCTATCACTGTCTGGGCCCAGGCAGAGTAAAGGATGACTGCGGCCAATGAGAAAGGATGCTCTGTGTGCACCCTGCTGGAGTGCGGGGAAGCAGGTCCAAGAAGAATGAGTTAGTCCTCCTCTTCCTCTGGGTTCCGTTTTCTGAATAAGAGCCTGCATGGAATCAGGTCAGACAGACAGACACATCACTGTCCTGATACGATAAGTAGTTAAAGTTAGCCGCTAAGAAGGAATGGACAGAGCAAAGCAAAAACACGAAATAGTTGGACCCTTTAAAAAGTAGAAGATGAGGGCTGGAAAGATGGCTCAGCGGTTAGGATGCCTGCCTGCTTGCAGTTCAGAGGCTATGAGCTCCAATTCCCAGAGTCCACAACGTGCAGCTCACAACCACCTATGACTCCAGCTCCAGGGGATCCAGACCTCCCAGGTCTCCTGGCCTCCCAGGTACCCCCACACACATGTGCATACACACACACACACACATAAAAAATAAATCTTTAAGATGCATGAAAGTAGAATTGGGGAAAGAGGGAGATGGCTCACTGTGCAAGCATGGGGACCTGAGTTCACCCACAGAAAGCTGTGCTCCTGCAAGCCCAGGGATGGGGAGGGGAAGACATAGATCCCAGGCTTACTGGCAGTCAGTCTAGCAGAAAATGGAAACTTCTAGGTTCAATAAATATTCCTGCTCTCTCTCTCTCACACACACACACACACACACACACAGAGAGAGAGAGAGAGAGAGAGAGAGAGAGAGAGAGAGAGAGAGAGAGAGAGAGAGAGAGAGAGAGAGGAAGAGAGAGGGAGGGAGAAAGAGGGGGAGAGAGAGGGGGGAGCAAGCGCACCAGGCATAGTGGCACACACCTTTCATCTCCACCCAGATGTGGCAGAGGCAAGCAGATCTGTGATTTCAGGCGAGCTGAGCCTCCTCTACATAAGAGTTTCAGGCCAATCAGGGCCTACATGGTGAAAACTTGTCTCAAAAACAAACAATAAAAAAAATAAAAAAACAACAACAAACATAAACCAGTGGCGCGCCATAAAGGAACGCGCCAATGCTGACTCTGGCCTCCACGTGTATGTGCCCAGACAAGCATTAACTTGACACACATGTGCACACAGAAATCAGAGCTAGAGCAGCCGTGTGCTGCCTCTCTAGAAGGCCCGGGGCCCTGAACTTGATCTCTAACACCACAGAAAAATTATAAAGCAGGTGATCAGGATCACAGAAGAGAGACATCTGAAAAGGCTTTAAGAGCCAGAACAGCAAAGAGACAGACATAGGCCTTATTGTTTGAAAGCAGGGATGGAGCGCTTGGTAAAAAGGGAGAAACAATCCATAAGTAATTCTGACTGAAATCACTGCCTACCTCCTACCCTGTAACTATGCCCTGCTGGCAAAGAGACCAAGGGGGCGGTAAAGAAAATTATGCTGGAGAGGATGTGGGGTAAAGGGAACACTCCTGGTGGGAGTGCAAGCTGGTACAGCCCCTTTGGACATCAGTATGGCAATTTCTCGGAAAATTAGAAAACCACCTACTTCGAGGCACAACAATACCACTTTTGGGTATATACCCAAAGGATGCTCAATCGTGCCACAAGGACATGTGCTCAACTATGTTCACAGCAGCATTGTTTGTCATAGCCAGAACCTGGAAACAACCTAAATGCCCCTTGACTGAAGAATGGGTAAAGAAAACGTGGTACACAATAAAGCACTACACAGCAGAAAAGAATGACATCTTGAAATTTGTGGGCAAATGGGTGTATCTAGAAAATATCATATTGAGTGATATAACCCAGACCCAGAAAGACAAATATAATATGCACTCATTTGTAAGTGGCTTTTAGACATAAAGCAAAGAAAAACCAGCCTACAACTTACAATCCCTGTGAATCTAAACAAAGAGGACCCTAAGAGAAACATACATGGATCTAATCTACATGGGAAGTAGAAAAAGACAAGATCTCCTGAGTAAATTGGGAGCATGGGGATCAAGGGAGAGGGTACAAAGTAAGGGGGTAGGAAGGGAGGGGAACGGAGAAAAACATAGTTCAATAAAAACAATAAAAAATATTCTCGGCTACACTAAGTAAAAAAGATTTGAACACATTTTACATGGCTAAAAAAAAAAAAACTCTGAATTTGTTTGCAACTCAGTGTCTTCCCCTTTCCCTAGTATTTGTGCAAGAATCCACGTTTAAACTTCTATCTTCCTGTAAAGCTAAGAGAGTGCCATTTGAGCATCCATCCCGCCGCCCCCCCCATTTGACGCACGCCCACACCTGTGAGAGGAGAGCCTTGCGAGCATTATATGCACAGCTGTGCGGGACGCGGGGGCGCTAATAGCAACCCGAGCACCCGTTCTCGGGCTATCACCTCGGCTTTGCAAGCCTCGGGAGGACCGGCAGGTGAGAAAGGCCCCAGTGTCCTTCTCCAGCCCCGGCCTGTCTCCTCCTTGGGTGCAGCCTACAGGCGTGCAAACCCACGGTGCACGCTCGGCTCCCGAGCTCTCACCAGGCTGCAGCTTGCCAGTCTCCCGACCTCGCTCACCTGCTGTGCAGGGAGGCTCCTCAGCAGCCGCCCCTCCATCTCCGTGCAAGTCGGGGACAATTTGAAAAGCGCGCCCCGAGCTGCAGCAGCCGAGCGCACCAACCGCCCGGCCGTACCAAGTCCGGGCTGAGGGGGAAACCCAGCCCACGACGCCGCGCAAGCGCACTAGGGGCGCTGAGGCCAGGGCCGCCAGAACACGAAGGAGACCCAAGGGCTCTGAACAGACCCCTCGGCAACAACCGGCTTTAAGCGCGGGCGGGGCCTAGGAGTGTGGTGGGCGGGGTCTGAACTGCGTGCCGGCCTGGATGGGCGGGGCTTGAAGGAAGAGTGCGTGCTTGGGTGGGCTGGACAGGCGCGCAGGGGGGCGGGGTGAGGTTCCTGTGGAGGCTTTCCCTGTAGGTCTGAGGTAAGTTTTCTCCAGCATCTTTAAATGAATGATTGTCCCATGGTCTGGCTTCAAACATGTCTTCACGCAGAGATATGCTCTTAGTACGGCTGGGGAGACACAGTACAGCAGACATTTTTGTGAGCTCTGTCCCTGGGTTTTTTCGTTTCCAAAGTGGCAGCAAACAGCAGTATCCAGAAGCCTGGTTTTTTGGCACAGTCTTTCCTAAAAACAGAGGACGGGGAGTTGCTGAAGGATTGAACTAGGGGGCCTCAAGCATGGCAGGTCTACCACTGAACTGTCCAGCTCAAACACTAATTTTAATTGAAGGGTGTACACACCCTTGTAAAGGGTTTAAAATCATCCCTTAGCTTATCGTGTGCAGGAAATGTTTAGGGCTTTGGGCATTTTCCTCCTGAGACAAGACTCTGCCAAATCAGCCCTCCTACCTCACCTCATAAATGGTCTTGGGCACTCTTCCCTCTGTGTACAGCCGGACTCTGTATGTTTATTTACCTAGAACTTCCCCTATTGGGTTTGTTGTCCTAGTGTTCCACCTATGTTAATCTTTTGTGGACTTTAAATCATATGGTCCTCTTCCTCACAAGCCTCTTTGTTAAAGCAAATTGGAAGATGTACGGCTTAAAAATAAAGCATGGACCAGTGAGATGCTCAGCAAGTAAAGGTGCCTCATGCCAAATCTTCTGACCTGAGTTCGAAACCCCAGGATTCATATAGTGTATAGTGGAAGGTACACACACACACACACACACACACACACCTTCCTCTCAAGTGGATAATTGCCTACTTGAGGTCCTCAGGACTAGGTGATTCCAGAAGCTTCCCAGTTAGGAAGGTGTGGCTCTCATATTAGCAGCCTGCAATGACCCACAGTTGTCAAGTATGTGAAACTCAAAATTACCAACACTCAACTCACCCAGTTCCCTCTGAACACAGGCCTGAATTCCACTGTCATGAGGTGCCCCTTGCCCTAGCGTTCAGCTCCCTTGTGGCACCACTTTGGGGTGTAATTATCCCCAACGACCGTGAGCTGCAGGAGCCAGGCATAATACCTGACTCACAAAAGAAGCAAACACAGAGAACATCTTCAGGCACACGCCAGCGTTTGCTGGGTAACACATACAACTCTCAGACATGGATCAAAATACGTGCCAAAGGCAGCACCTTGGGAGAAACAAAAAGATGACCAGTTTCAAACTGAACACTGGTGTGTTTGTGGATGAGTACTGTAGGTGTGATAATCCTAGGAAGAAGTCTAGAGAAGGCCATGTTTAGAACTTGCAGTAGACTATGGATAGTGGCTGTTGAAGACCTTTCTCTTTGTAGACGAGATGAAGTGGGCCTATCCCCTTCTTAGTCATCTAGGGATGTGTCCCGGAAGTGCTTAAGGGCTTACCCTCTAGCTGGTGATTAGAGTAGCTTAGAATAGGATTTCTGTTTCCTTATTTATCCCCAGGTCCTTTCTGGTTACTGCTAGCTTCATCAAACATAGTTCTCTTTGATGTCTGCAATACATACAAAAATAGAACCAGTCTTCGAAACACCAGAAGGTTAAAGAGTGGTGGCTGAGGATGTGCCCTAGTTGGCAAGATGCTTGCCTAGCCTGGACAAGGTCCCGAGTTCATTCCCCAGCACACCGTAAACTGGGCATGGTGATACATGTGGGTCACCCTTGTACTCCAGAGGTAGGGGCAAGACAATCAAAAGTCTCAAGTTATCGTCGGCTACAAAGTGAGTTGAAGCTAGTGTGGGTTACAAGAGATGCTGTCAAAAATAAAAGAGTATACAAGAAGTAGTCGTATTAACTTGAGAATTTATTTATCTAGCAATGTATTCATTTTACACCTAGAAGAAAATAATAAGTACTTTTTTTTTCTATTTGAGAGCTAAATTGAGGCATCCTTCAACTCTCTTTCTTCTGGCTCCCCCAGAGATGTTAGATACCCACCCACCTTCCCAGGTTTGTTTCAGCTGGAGGTTGAATAATGGGATCATTTCAGTACTAATTACAATATGGACATTATTTATATGAACTACAACAAATGGAGGTTAATTCATAATTAAATGGAAAGTGATAGAAACAAAGCGATCAAATAAGACAGTAAGTGGTGTTAAAAGTATATTTTCCTATATTATTCTTCTTAACTTTCGCTGCCCTGGAACTCGCTGATACACCTCTGCCTATGCCTCTAGAGTGCTGGGATTCAAACACGTCCCCCTGCTCCCAGACCCATTGCTTTTTTAAAGAAATATAGTTTATTATAGAACAGGCAACTCTTGCTAATCTTTATTTTATTCAAGACCTTCAAAAAAATTTCTAATTTGAAAATTATCTTGGAGAGTTAGTGAGATAGCCTGACAGTAAAGGAGCTGGTTGCCAAGCCTGAAAACCCAAGTCTATTCCCTAAGACCTACACCACACGAGGACAGATCTGACTCCCATAAGTTGTCCTCCGACCACACACAGGTTGCTGCTTACAAACATCCACCTTATCCTCACAATCAAGAAGCTAACTAACTAATAAATAAAAAATAAATACTTTTTTAGATTTAGAGAAAATTGTCTATAATTCAAATAATGAAATTAAAATAAAATGTAAAGAGGAGAGATGTGTGTTTGTATTATGTACAAAAGAGAAGGAAAGTGGAAGGAGGGAGAAGAAGGAAGAGAGGAGAAGAAATGATGGGAGAGAGAGAGAGAGAGGTAACGATGCTAAGCAGGTTCTTTGATCCTACTGCACGTATTGGCTTTGTGGGAGCCTAGGCAGTTTGAATGCTCACCTTACTAGACCTGGATGGAGGTGGGTGGTCCTTGGACTTCCCACAGGGCAGGGAACCCTGATTGGTCTTGGGTGGGGGACTTGATTGGGGGGGGGAGGGAAATGGGAGGCGGCGGTGGGGAAATGACAGAAATCTTTAATAAATAAATAAATAGATAAATAAATAAATAAATAAATACGAAAAAACTCATAATCTACAAACAGCGGAAGCATCATCTAATCTTACAAAGGATACAGGATGCTGAGTCTGAGGACTTAGCCCTGTAGTTCTGGGAAGACTGCTCAGTTTCCTTACCTGTAAAACAGAACTGCTAATAGCTAGCTTGTCTTTAAAGTTGACACAGTGACAGCCAGTTGAGATAAGGTTTCGAAAGTACCCTACAACTGTCTCACTCTACAAACACAGGTTATGACTCATAAAGGAAGGACACACCAGGGCCTCAAGTCAACCATTTTAGACCCAAAGAACTCTAAGAGTGGATTAGGAAAAAACATATATATTTAGAAATATTCAACATATATCACCTACCACTGACAATATTGAGAATATGTGTGAAGGAGGTGGGGATGGGGGATAGGCCTGCCTATCAATCAGCTCTTCTGAAAGCTAAGGAAGGATTAAAAGTCTGAAGCCACCTGGACAATTTAGCCAACTGGTCAAATTAAAAAGAAAGGGGCTGAGGATATTAGCTCAGTGGCAAAGTACCCAAGAAACATAAGACCCTTAGTTCTATCCCCAGTACTGAAAATCAATACAGTCACAAAAATCCAGCTGGAAAATACCCAAAATGTGTGTCAGACATAGAGCATTGAATCCATACATAAAATAAAATATAAGTATTACTTATGTCTATTATTAGTCTATCAACTGCAGATGAAAGATTGAGGTGGATAAGATTTTACAGTTAGTAAGTTGATCAATATTAATTCAATAATGCTAAGGTTTGGAAGGTAGGAATCTGTCAATACGATACATTGGCAGAGACAATGTAAATGTGCCTAATCACTTGAGGGAGAAAGTAAAAATATAAAGTCAAAAATATGTGTGTGTCTATATATAAATTCTTCACCCATAGGTATATATCCTTTTCTTTTAAAATATACTTGCAAATCCATACTGGCAACATTGTGCTTGTAATAGAAAGATACCAAAATAACACAAGTGTTTATTTCAGGAGTGTGAATAAATTACAGCACTCTACCCAGATGACATACATCTTTAGAAAGGAATGTACCATAGCCGTGTGCTATCTGGGTAAACTGGTCTTTCTCAGAATGAAGGACGCTAATTTCAGAAGACTGCACTGGATATAATATTTTTGCATTGCAGCCACAAAAGAACTGAAGCTGTATTGTTCGTTGAAACCCACGTGAGAAAAGTCTACATTTCGCGCAGAAGAGGATGCTTTGGAGGGTACGTGTATGAAGAGTCTCTCAAAGGCTCGATGGCTGAAGGCTGGGGTTGGCTGCAGTGTTCGGATTAGACTGGGGGTGCTCTCTCCTCATCAATGTACTGGTCCATTGATTAATTTGAGGGCTCACCATAAGGTAGTGAAACCTCTAGGGGATGCGGCCTCGTGGGAGGACATAGGTAATTGGAGCATAACCTTGGTGCGGTCGGTTACTCCTCTGCTGCTGTGATAGAACACCGTGACCCAATGTGTGTTGGGTATGGTTCTAGAGGGTAAGCCTAGAATGGCGGGGTATGCATGGCAGCAGATGGCTGGAGCAGGAAGCTGAGAGTAGATGCTTCAGCTGCAAATAGGAAGCAGAGAGAGTGAACTAGAAATGGAACGAGGTGACACCAATGACACTACATACCCTAACAAAAAAGAGCAACGTTGGGGAGAAAAGGGTTTATTCAGATTATAGCTCCCAATTATAGTCCATCATTTTTGGATAAGTCAAGGCAGGAACTCAGGTAGCTAGTTACTCATGTCACAGTCTCTGCGAGTTCATATGTGCATCGACTCCGTTCTGTCTAGAAGGCCTTGTTTCCTTGGTGTCCTCCATCC